GCATGCTTCGCGAAGTTCTCGTGTTGTGTTTTTCAGCTCCATCAATTCACTTATATTCCTTTCTATTTTGTCCATTCTCATGAGCATTTTGTCAAATCTTTTTTCAAGGTTCTTTGTTTCTTTGCATTTGGTTAGAACGTGTTCTTTAAGTTCACAGAAGTTTCTTACTACCCACCTTCTGAAGTCTGATTCTGTCATTTCATCACACTCGTTCTCCCTCCAACCTTGTTCCCTTGCTGTTGAGGAGTTTTGATCCCTTGTAGGAGGAGAGGTGTTGTGGTTTCGGGGGTTTTCATCCTTTTTGCGCTGGTTTCTTCCCATCTTTAAGGATTTATCCACCTGTCAACTTTGTAGTTGCTGGCTTTCAGATTGGGTGTCAAATCTTTCAGATTGACGTTCTGTTTGTTGATGATGAGGTTATTTCTGTTTCTTGGTTTTCCTTCTGACAATCTGGCCCCTCTGCTGTAGGTCTGCTGAGGTTCACTGCAGGCCCTGCTTGCCTGCTGTTCAGCTGCAGCAGCTGCTGAACAGTAAGGTTTGTTACCAGTTTTCTTCTTCTGCTATCTTTGTCCCAGAAGGATACCCGCCTAGTGTCAATCTGATCTCTCTTTTATGAGGTGTCTCTTTGGATATATAGGGGTCAGGGAGTGCTTGAGCAGACGGTCTCTTTTTTATAGGAGCTCAAATGGTGAGCTGCGAGCTCTGTTGTTGTTCATTCAGAGCTGCTGGGCAGGTAGTTTTAGGTCTGCTGCAGCAGAATTCATAAACTGCTTTTTGTTCCCAGGTGCTCTGTCCCAGGGATTTAGGGCTTTATTTATGAGTTTCCGTTATGCTGCCGCCTTCTTTTTTTTTTTTCCTTCAGACCTGCCCAGCCCAGCAAGGAGGCAGCCTAGTCACTGTCGGCCTATAGAGGCTTCGCTGAGCTGCTGTGGGCTCCGCCCCACTGCCGAGTGAACTTCCCTGCAGTCCTGTTTATATGGGTGTAGTTAGAACTGCTTTGGCAATGGTGGCCCACCTCTGTTGAGGTGGAGTCTCTCTGCTGTGGCTGGTTGCCTTGGCAACGGCGAGCTGCCTCAGCATTGGCTGACTACCTCCGTCCTGGCGGGCTGCCTCAGTAATGGCGGACGCCCCTCCCCCACAGAGCTGGACCGTCCCGGGTTCAGCTGCGCTTGCTGGGAAAGTCTCAATCCAGAGTTTCTGGTTGCTGTTCTTTTGTGGTGGTGGGACCAGCCGAGCCTGATCGCCTGGCTCCCTGCCTCAGAGCCTTTTTAAAGTTGGTGTTCCAGTCGCCTGTTTAAGAGGCGCCGGGGTCTATTTGTTTTCCCCTGCGGCCACTCATTGCGCTGGCTTAAACAGCGGCACTGAGGTTTGTGGCGCTTTTTTTTTTTTTTGCCCTGGAATCTACTGTCCTGGTTCTCTGCTCAGTCCCCTTTTTGAACCGGCGAACGTGAGATTTCCCGTGGCTCCAATCGCCAGCCAAAAGGGCACCAGGACCAGTGTATTTTGTACGGAGAACTGCTGCTCGGGGCGCTGACAAAGCAGCCGCGCGGGGCAAAGCAGCGGTGCCAACCGGCACAGCCGCGCTGGCCAAAGAGCCGCACTGGCAACCGTGGAGCTCCTCTGCCTGGGAATTTTCTAGTCTGTGGGCAATAAAAACGCGGCATCCACTCACCCTCTGCACTTTCACTGGGAGCTGCAATCCTGAGCTGTTCCTAAACGGCCATCTGGGATCCTCCTCCGATCTGTTTCTCAAAATCATTATTTTGTTGTATGTATTAGTAATCTCTTTCATTACTGGAGAGTTTCCCATTGTGGCAATGTTCCACAGTTTGTTTATTAATTCACACATCAATGCATTTTTATTGTTTCGGTTTGACAGCTACAAATAAAGCTGCTATTAACATTCATGTTCAAGTTTTTATGTGGACATATGCTTTCATTTTGGGGGCATAAATATCTAGAAATGGAATGACTGGACCACATGATAGGTGTGTTTAACTGCATAGTACTGACAGACTGTCAAAGTGGTTGTACAATTTTATATTCCCATCAGTAGTCTTTGACAGTACCAGTTGTTCCACATTTTTGTCAACACTTAATATAGTCAAACTTTTTAATTTTATCCATTCAAATGGCCATGTAGTGGTATCACATTGTGATTTTGATTTGCAATTCCTTAATAACTAATGATGTTGACCATTTTTTTTCACATGCTTATTTGTAATCCACATATCTTGTTTAGTGAAGTATCTTTCAAAACTTTGCCCAATAAAAAGTTAATTTTGTTAATTTCTTGCAATTAGATTTTTTAAATTCTTTATACATTCTGACTGAATACGAGCTCTTAATCAAGTATGTGATTTGCAAATATTTACTCCCAGTCTGGGGCCTGTTATTTTTTTCTTTCATCAGGTAGAAATTGTTAACTTTAATGAAGGATAATTTATCATTTTCTTCTTTTTTGCATCAGGATTTTGGTATTGTGCTTACAATTAATTTTAATGCCAAGTTTATCACTGTTTCCTTTTATGGATAAGGCTTTTTTATTTTAGTTTAAGATATAATTCCAACTCTGAAGTCACAAATATTTATATTTTCTTTAAACGTTCTAAAGCTTTTAGTATGATTTTTTATTTAGTTGAAATTGATTTTTATGTATGGAATAGGATAAGAATCTCATTTTGTTTTTTTCTATGAATACCCAATTGACTCAGATTAATTTATTGAACAGTTCATTCTTTCTCCTTTTTATCAGTTAGGTTAAGCTTAGTTATGCTATAGTAACAATTCAAAGTTATCTGTGGCATACACAATAATAGTTTATTTCTGAGTTCACACTATATGTGTGAGACAAGTCACTAGGGACCCGGATTATCACAGCCACTCAGGCACCCATGCTAATGGAGGCTCAGTATTGACATATGCTTCTAGAATTACTTATGCAGGAGAAGAGAAAGACAAATTGATCATTGGTATTTGGAGGTTTTTCACACAAAGACATACTTCTGCTCACACTTTTTCAACCAGAGTAAGTCACGTTATACCTACCTTCCGTTGTGATTTCTATTATTATGGTTTCTTTCTGATTTGGTCTTGAGGTTCTGTTTGTTGAGAGTGGCTATAAGCTAAGAGAGCTACTCTTTAAGAGACCCCTGACTGGAGAAGAAAGTTAGGTTCAGGTGTGTGTGTCAGGTGAGAAACAATGAGAAAGTAAAACCAAAATGCATAAAATAGAAGAAACCTAGAGAGGTTAGGAGTACAAATGGGAAGTTGAGAGATGACAGGGAGCTCAACCAACAGGTGGGGAACAAGAGAAAGAGAAAGAATGTAGGACTATGCCTTTATTAAGGTCTAGAGGTGCTTTCCCTTCGACTTTCACAGAGTGATATGGATTGGAGTTCAAAAAAACATTTGCAAAGATAAAAACTTATTTACATGACTTGGGTGTTGAACATTAGGTTTTATCATGATAAGCAGATGTGGGCTGTGTTGGGTTTTGGGTCATTGAAATCAAAAACAAGCAGGTTAGATCGTTTAAAAAAATTGTGCAGGGATAGGAAATTTTAGCCAGGCCAAAGGTGATAGAATACAACTAGGATTCAACTTATGGCAGGACTAAAATTGGATGCCAATGTGGCAACTAAATTAAACAAATTTGCGATAACCGTACTCCTCTAAGAATGGTGGAATATTTGAGAAAGGCTCTGACATGAGAAAGAGAGAAAAAGAAACTAGAAAATAAAAGCAACCTGGAGGAAACAGAAAACATGCACAAATTTGCCCAAACTTCAATATCCTTAGAGATAAAAGTAGATATTGCTTCCATAAATAAGAATGAGATGCTAGATATGAAGAATATAAGAGAACAAGAAGAATGCCTTTGAAATAAAAAAACAGTAAAAATTTCAAAAACCATAATAAAATGTTGGAAGTTAAAATCAGGGAAATATTCAAGAAGATAAAATGATCAAGAGGTTGAAAATGAGAAAGAAAAAGTTAGAAGCTTGGAGTATAATCCATGATTATAACATCTGATTAACAGTAGTTCCAGAATAAGAGAATAGAGGGAATGGAGGGGAGGAAATTATCAAAGAAAGAAAACCTTCAAGAAAAATTTCTGGAATTAAGGAGTATATGTCTAGATTAGTGATTATTTAGCATACATCATCAGAATTATGTGCAGGACTTCTTCTAACACAGATTTCTGGGCCCCACCGCTAGAGTTTCTGATTCATTAGACCTAAGGTGGCACTCAAAATCTTTCATTTCTAACAAGTTTCTAGATGACAATGCTGCTGACCTAGGGACTACAGTTTGAAAACCACTGCCATACGATAAAAGGGCACATGAAATGCCTACCACAGTAAGTGAAAAAAAACTCACACTGTGACATGTAATCATCAAATTCTCAGTATCAGGGATTTAAAAAAATCTCCAGAAGATTTCAGAGAGAAGAAAATAAGTTACATTAAAAAGAACAATGGCAATTAATAATAAAGAACAATAGAATGGTCTTCAGAATTCTGTACCTAAGCCACATATTAGTAAAGTGTGGGTATAGAATAAATAAAATGTTCAGAAGCACAAAGTGGAAATCTATATCTCATGCACAACTTCATAGGGAGCTATGAGACTATGCAGCAAAAGAAAGAGAAGACCAAGTGAAAGAAAACTATAAAACCCAAGAAGATTTATCTACTATGAGAGTGCTGCAAAAGGAAGTACCTTATAACTATGGGGCATCAGGCCTAGAGAGTAGCCAGTCTATATAGGACTATAAAGACAAAAATCATACCAAAGACAATGTGTACCCATTACCCACTGTATACCACTTGACTCTGAAGTGGATATCATTTACATAGTCAAAATAATGTAAATAGTAATCACTAATTAAAACTTGTAATGTGAATATAGGGGAAGGATATATAGAAAGAATAGGTTGGGAAGAGGTATCAGAGAATTACCTTCATCTGCTAAAACAGAAAGCCAATGGAAAAGATCTGAATATGATAAATAAATAGTAGTATTGCTCTGGGATGAAGGGAGAGAAAGAGCATGATTAGATAAGGAGACATCCTCCCATTGCTGGTATTTTCCTGTCATTTGTGCTACATTTTTACACTTACCAACTCTTTAATATTCATGTTGATTTCTTATTTTCTCTCAGAATAATTTGCCTGGTCTCCTTCCTGAAAAATTCAGTGTATCTTGTAATAATGCTTCTATTGACAGGTTACTTAATTTATAGGAACTTGAATATTTTCCCCCTCACACTATAAGATGTATGGAGATAAGCAGAGGCTGACAGTGGTTTAGTGGCTCAGCCATATTAGTGTCACCATCTCTTTGGTGCTCTTGACATCTTTTCATGGTGATAAGGCAGCTGCTGAGTTTTTAGTTTCCACCTAGTTCCATATACTATATCTCCTTTCAAGGCAGAAAGAAAAGCGAAGGAGTGGTATTCTTTGTTTTAATAGGAAAGAGCTTTCCTAGTATCTATCCCCACTCCTATAGAGGTCCAGTTGCATCCTAAATAGATGGAATTATCCACATGGCTGTGCCTAACTGTGAGGGGAAGTGAACGGCACTTAGAAGGCAGCAAGGACTAGGAGTGGATTTGGGATCACCAACTCTATCTTGGAGTACTTATTTTTCTTGTAAGACAAAAGATAGGGAAGTGGGTATGTAGGGATGGTGAAGATAGCTTCAAACCTATTTTTAGCATTTCCTCCAGTTGGGAGACCAGTGTGAATGGATTGGTAATGCATATAACTGACAATTGTCTCATGCTAAAAGAGATATATGGCACCATTCTGATATCATTCCTTATTTCAAATGTCACTAGGCCATATAGTATCCCTTTATCACCCATATTGGAAGCAATGCTGCTTTTTTCTGATTTCTCATACTTCTTTGTCTATATCTCTTAGGAAACATGCCCCTTTTAATCTCATATTTTTAATGATATTAATTTATATCTATCTAAATATAAAATTGATATTTACAGCATTTTGATATTTTTGAAAATTCAGAGTAGAAAGAAAACATCAATAGATAGGATTCTCCAGGCACATGCTTGCAGAGCATACTATAAATATCCCTTAAAATACTTGTCACAGTTATAATTACTTAATGTTTTTCATTTTTTGTGAAATAAATGCACCATGAGGACAAGGATTATTACTGTTTTATTCTTTGCCATACCTCCAGTATATAGCACGGTGCCTAACACCTATTAGGTGTTAATACTCATTGAATGAGTAAACACAGAAAATAAACGTTAACATTTTTTGCTTGTTTTACTTTTTAGTTATTTTTATTCATGACTATAAGTTTCTTAATATAATCT